TTGTTGTTGTTGTTGTGTTTTTGTTGTTGTTGTTGTTGTTGTTGTTGTTGTGTTATTGTTGTTGTTGTGTTATTGTTGTTGTTGTGTTGTTGTATTGGTATGCTGGCAGGTGGTTTAGCTGCCAAAACAGGCATTTTATGTCAAAATTAATCACAGAAAAACCGACCAACGTTGGTCAGTTTTTAATAAAAAAAATAAATTATTCCAAAATACCGACCAAAGTTGGTCGGTTAATGAACATTGAATTCCCAGAATTCAAGAATACCGTCCAACTTTGGTCGGTATTTTGCTTGCATTGTTGAGATTACCGACCATAGTTGGTCGGTAATGTTTAATTTTAATTAGTTTTAAAAAATATATATTTTCAATTACCGACCAAAGTTGGTCGGTTTTTTTTAATTTTAATAATTAATAAAAAAAATATAATTTAGTTAAACCGACCAACTTTGGTCGGTAAAATTAAATTAATAAAATATGTTTCCGACCAAAGTTGGTCGGTAAGTAATTAAACTTGTCAGATGGTCGTTTTAATATACCGACCAAAGTTGGTCGATAATTTCCGACCAACTTTGGTCGGTAAGCCGTTCCGACCATCAAAACACCGTCCACACCGTAATGGTCACGTTTTGGTCGGTAATTTGCCATAACCGACCAATGTTGGTCGGTATTTTTGGTCGGTTTTTAGTGAATTTCTAGTAGTGGCTCTCGTAGCATTCTTCCGAATTACTACTCACCTATTTAAAATAGATTAATGCATATATTCTTATGGAATTAATATATTAAGAATGCATTAAGATTACGATATTCAATTCAGCATGGTGATTAGGTATATTCCTATCCTAACCACAAATTCGCCCACACTCAGAATTAAGATCATGCTCTCTTCAATTCTTCTCTAATCTAGACGTAGCTTTCCAAAGCAATGCATAGATAGTAAATAAAATCTGAATGTTGGCTAGACAATTAAATAATTAATCACAGAATTGAAGAAATAACCATATTAGCGAACTATAATTAAGGTAAAGTCAACTTTGAACAACAATATTCATGGCTAAATCACAACCCCGGAACTTATGGGTTTTAGTTACTCATGATAAAGTTAAACAATTTCACAAGTGTTGAATAGTTAAAAATGCTAAGAACGATGAAGAAAAACTGAGAATCCTTGCTCCCGAGTATTTCGTGTGTGTGTTTTCCTCTCAAAGTAGCGTCTCCCCCTTCTAAATAGGTCTAGACTTCTTTTTATACGAGTTGGGGTGTGTAGGACCGAAAAAACCTTATCCCGCGCGAAGTAGGAGGAATTCCCGTCACCCAACGTCTAGAGTAGCGCGTCGCGCTGGCCTGTTGGCCAAAAAGTTTCAGAACTGTAATTTGCGCCCCAGGCAGCGCGATGCGTTGGCTTGGGCGCTACACTGGCCGAATTTTTTGTTTTGTTCTCTTTTTGCTTCAACTCGTGCACTTTCATCCCACATTATCTCTTGGTGACTCCTACTTATAAAAATACCACGAATTAGAATAAATTATTATATTACGCATCCAAATTCCACAAAATATGAGCAAAATGTGAGGCGACATACGTATAAATATACGTAATTTAATCCGAATATCAATTATTGTATTGGTGTATGCATAAGATATAAAAATATTTTTGTCGAACATAGAATAAGGTAGTATATTCAACAAATAAATAATTATCGAATAATATGAGATAAATAATTCAAAACTTGTAAAATTTCAAAACTACCGCCCAAAAAGGTATAATTTGAACCTAAGAATTAAATAATTAATCACATGAATTGCTGATTAGATTGTCATTTGGATTTAATAAAAAGGTAGCTGCTGACTTTAGTAATGGGTAATTAAAAAAGATTACAAGTATATGTACACACGAGGGAATCTTGAAATGGGGCCAGTGAGATAAACTGAAAGTCCCACAGCTAACGGTGTCTAACGCGCTTTAATAAGGATTCTTTCCGTACGTAATCTTAATCCAATAATGCACTCAATTCTAGTTTTCGAACACATTTCATGAATTAATAGCTGTTTGCAGTTAGTTATAAAACTATTTAAAAGAGGGAAAAAAAACTTTATAAAACTATTGTTTGAATTGTAAAATTTTGTTTTACCGAAATCTCACAATGACAATTAATTACTCTATTCTTATCTCATCTTAGGCATATGACACAAATGATCAACATCTGAAAAATAGTTAAAGAATTTAAGGATGTCTTTGTTGTCTTATGTATCAAAAGTTTTTTTTTTTTTTATTATGATAGAAAATCATAAACTTTAAATCACTGATCCGTTTGGTTTATTTATTTGGCCGAGTAATAACGTTGAACCTAGCAAAGAAATACAAGTCGAAAATGGAGAGGACGAATCAAATCCTGCCACGTAAGATTTTATGGGAAATTCTTGTTTGGATGGGTTTGTTTTCAAGTCCAACCATCCCCCTTATTTAACAAAACATTCACCCATGACACCTCCCATCCTATTGTATCTTATCTGATGCTGATACTTCATCAAAATCTTCTCTATTATTTTATTGTTGCTTTTAATACATCATCTCATCCCAGATACACATCAAGAAAAAAAGGATGCCCAATACAATCAAAGCTCAGGGGAGATGAACTTACTATAACACGTGGTCCACTGTCATGATGTGAACACTATCAACTTGACTCATATATCTTAACCACAACACGTATATACAGCCCACAACACGTATATACAATATTATGGGATACTAATGGTGTTTGGATAGTGTTTTTTTTTTTTTGGATGTTTTTACACAGATTAAAAAAATTTATTTTTTAACATTAATTAACAATAAAATTTACTCCAAAGGCAATGTAGAAAAAAAATAATTAATTTATTCTTAAAATCTGAAAAAATTATTTATTTTGGACCGTAAAAAAATGTCAAAAACACTTATTGTGAATGGGACGGAGTAATATTTAATTTGTTATCTTTCATTTATACAAGTACTGAATAGCTTTGTCTACGAAGGCGCAAAGGGAAAGAGGTGAAGCCACCTTCTTTTAAGGGTTACGCTCAATTGACACCTCTCCGTCAAAAAAATTATATTGTGTAGCTAAATATTTTTTTATGTTTATGTATATATAATATATATTGCGTCCCTTGCTTCCGCAAAATTTTAATTTTTAATATTTTAATTTCCTTTAATAAAAATTTTGACTCTACCATTTCGATCGGATAAAAAGAAATAATATTTTTTATTAATATTTTCTATGGAAATATTAATAATAAAACATTAATATGTGGATACAGAGTTCCATTATCCACTAATTATAAAACAATCAAGTAGTATAAAGTATCCTTGTATTCATTTAGCATGACAAGCAATCTCGCACCACAACATATAGATACACAAAGTGTAATAATCTGATAAAAATTATTCAATATATGTTATATATTTCTAAAATCTAATATTTTACCTATACGATTGACCACTCTTACCAACCATATCACTGGCATACAATTTACACCCCCACCCCCTTCTCCGCCCCCGCCCCCAAAACTAAACAACAAATATACGTGACCCCATGCATATGACTTATGAGCACACACTATTCAAATCCTCCCCCAACCCATCATATTTGAATCTTCCCACGGTCACTTAAACTTATTGGCTTCTGGTTGACCCACAACACCCACATCTCAATTTCTTCAAAAACCATAAAAATTTGCATGACCAGTTGTATTTTATTTTCATATAATAAAACATTAATTATTGCAGCCGCTGCAAAACTTGGGACAGAGTTTCTTATATATATATATATATATATATATATATATATATGTATTCAACGACTTCATCAATCAGCAACCCTATTCATATTTCTTTAGCTCTCTTTCTCCTATATATCATAACTTCCTCTCTTTTGCAAAATTAACCATATTCTTGAATTTACATCTTACAACTAGATCTGTCCTAAATTTCCCATCAAACAGAACAAGAAATTCAATGGATGGAAGTTGTTGCATAGAACAAGAGAGCACAACTAGTGACTCTCCATCAATTGCTCCAACATTAATATCAACTAGATTGTCTCGAATGGGAAGTGGAACTAGCAGCGTAATAATAGACGCAGAATTAAATTGCGGCATAGAAGCAGAGTCTATTAAAAAGTTGCCGTCTTCACGATTTAAAGGAGTTGTCCCTCAACCAAATGGCCGATGGGGCGCACAAATCTACGAAAAACATCAAAGGATTTGGTTAGGTACTTTCAACGATGAAGATGAAGCAGCCAAAGCTTACGATGTCGCAGCGCAACGCTTCCGTGGAAAAGACGCTGTCACAAATTTCAAGCCATTGTTTGATAGTGAAAAAGAGGAGATTGAAATTTCCTTCTTGAATTCTCGTTCTAAGGCTGAAATTGTTGACATGCTTCGTAAACATACGTATTATGACGAACTCGAACACAGCAAGAAAGTTTATAGTTTTAACAAGAATGGCAAAAGGACATGTTGTGAAGATGGGGTAGTGACTTCATTTGCTGTAGAGAAATTGAGCAAAGCTCGTGAATTGATGTTCGAAAAGGCGGTAACGCCAAGTGATGTGGGAAAGCTTAATAGGCTAGTGATTCCAAAACAACATGCGGAGAGATACTTCCCTTTGGAAAATAATTCCAAAGGGATGTTATTAAATTTGGAAGATATGAATGGGAAAGTGTGGAGATTTCGATATTCATATTGGAATAGTAGCCAAAGTTATGTGTTGACTAAAGGGTGGAGTCGTTTTGTGAAGGAGAAGAACTTGAAGGCTGGATATATTGTCAGTTTTGGAAGATCTAATGGAGTTGATAAGCAGCTTTATATTGACTGGAAGGCTAGAATATCCAGTACTACTCCTGTTTTGGATAAATTACAAGTTCAAGTTCAGCCAGTAAAAATGGTGAGATTATTTGGAGTGAATATATGCAAAGTACACGATGTTAATAATATTGTTGTTGAAAATAACCTCAGTAGTTGTAATGGTGGCAAAAGAATGAGGGAGATGGAGTCGTTGGCATTTGAGTGTAGAAAGAAACAAAGGGTTATTGATGCCTTGTGAACACTTAGGAGTAGTATTCTTCTTTTATTTGAAACTTTTTTTTCTTTTTTTCCCTTTGTTTTTGTACTTCAAGATGGCTTTTAGATGTTCCAATTGCTAACTTTCAACTGTATATTAGTATTAGAGATGTTAAAGAATGGCTCAAAAGTAGAGCTCAACTATGGTGAAAAGAGAGATGAAAAGAGGAAATGGAAATATAGAGAAAAAAATTTACTTCACATGAGTCTCTTATGTTCAGAATTTTGAACTTTCCTTTTTTCTTTATGTCTTTCAAGTTCCAAGAGTTTGTGAAATTTCATGCTTTACTTTTTGTGAGTATTGTTGCTTTGCAAAAGTATGTCTATGATTCCTTACATATTATAATTTATAACCCCTCTCCTTGTTTTTGGCTAAGGTCTAGTTATAGTAATTTTAATTTTAAAACTTAAAGTTGCTGCAAATAACCTGTTAAAGTGTAAAAATTAACTACTTTCACGACGGTGTACATACATCAATTAAATTCAATATATTAACCTAATCATAAATTGGAACATGATAAATCACATTGAGTTATCATGTGGAGTAATATGCATGATTCTTCATGATCTTGCTTCTCAAATATTCGATAGGACGTACAGATTCATGCACTGAATTTAATTCAGAACTAACCTATTATATGAGGAATCTTTTATTTTGTAACAAATATTTAACTAATGGAAAAAAGGGTGTAAATTCTGTCTCCCTGCTTTTTGAAACTCTTTAATATCTGGTATTGTCAACAATATCTGGTTGTTGTTGCATGGAGATTTTCGATTATTTATTAGCTGCATTTGACTAGTTAACCAAGGGCTAAAAAAGTACTCCCCGTTCACTTTTACTTGTCCACTATACTACATCAAGAGAAATAAAACCTTTTTTCTTGCTTTACCTTTATCATTAACTACTCATTTTCCAAGACTTTTGAAAATACTATCATTATTATGGGTAAAAATTGTAAAATATATAACTTTATTTATTTTTTCTTAAAAAGAGTGCAAAGTCAAAAGTGGACAACTAAAAATGAACGGAAGGAATAATTAATTACTAGTAGTAAATTAATAAATCATTAATGTGAACTTGTTTGGCTAATGTCAACAACAATGTGCTATCCTACACACAGCTAGTCAACTTTATATTGTGATGAACAAAGAAAATGGATCTGGAATTTGAAAAATGGAACTGTCAAAAGATCAGAGCTGCGACTTTTTGTCTTCATGATTATTGAGTGGCACCTCAGCTGAAGTCAATATATTTTTAATTTCATGTATTTTCTTGGAATCTCCCATGGTTAGAGAGGCTCAAGTTCACCACGTTCTTAAAATTAATAATGGCATAAACTTGTGAATTTAATTACTTCTACACTTATTTTTCAAATTGTTGAAGAAGCTTAAACTCGTCACTTCTAAGTTAGCCAAATAAAAAGGAAAAATGCAAAGAAAATAACTAGCAGCCTATTTGGCCAAACTTATAAAATCAATTATTTTGAAAAATGCTTTTCTCAACTTTTTAAAAAAGTAATTTTGGTGAAAAATTATTTGTGTTTGGCTATATTTTGAAAAGCACTTTTGAGCAAAGATTAGTGTTATCAAACTTGTAAAAAGTATTTATAAATTTATTTTTCTCAAAAGTATTTTTTCAAAAAAATATTTTTAAGGAGAACTTATTTTTTCTTCTCAAAATCTGCTTTGTCTTATAATCAAAATTATTCTTTTTCCTTCTAAAAGTTTGGTGAAACGACTTAACTTTGAAAAAATAATATTTTTAGCAACAAAAAAAATACTTTTCACTAAAAATAAGCTTGTCAAAAAAACACTGGCTGTAAAGACAATTTTACTTCTAGGTTGCAGGAGACAGACTTATCTGAGGCGTGCACCACGATTTAACAGGCAAAAAGTTGCTGTACAGCATGTTTGTCCATTCCATGTTATATATTTGTTCACATTTTTTTTGCTTTTTGATTTTCGACAACCTTAAGAAGATAAGGGAAGAAAGATAAACATGTCAGGTAACAGATAATAGAGCCTGTCGGCAATAAAGTCTTAGCAGAACGGCAGAACCTCAGGTACTAAAGTTGGAACTCTTATTAAACGTGGATATATTTTAAATACGTGAATATATTTGAAACATTCATACTGTCATTTCCACAAAAACTAAACCTATAGGGCTGATTTGAGTTGATGGGCTCTCATATGTATTGTGGGTTATGGCCCATGTTTGTGTTCTACGCTTTCAAATCATTGAAATAGTCACCATTTTGCTTCAATACTGAAAGTTTGTCCTGCGTCATGCCATGGCCATGTCCTGCCACGTCCGACGCCGTGCCATGGCCACGCCCTGCCATGTCTTGCGTCCTGCCANCACGTACGACCACGCCCTGCCATGGAAAGTTCCAGCATAATATACTAGAGATTTGAGCACTTGTGTATGAACTTCCAGCATATTATGTTGGAACTCAATCACATTATGAAATTTCAGCATGTTATATATGCTGGAAGTTCACATGTAAAAAATTCGAACTCCATGAAAAATGGTAAAATTTCTATTACTTTTGAAATTGTGGCTACTTTTCAATTATTACTTGTAAATCTGACTATTTTTTAATTTTACCCATTTTACTTGGGCAAAGTCCCAAGATGGATTACTCTACAGTTCAACTATACAATATTGAAGAAACTTTTACACTATTTGACAAATAAAGACCCCTAATTACTAGAGATAGGTTAAGCAAGTGTGGAATTACTACCGATGTATCTTGTGTCATGTGTGGCTAAGCACATAAAAACATATCCCACTTGTTATTTGAATGTACTGTAGTTGCTGATGTTTGGAACAAAATTCTAGGGCGGCAAGGGATAACAAGGCAAGCACAGGCAAGAAGAACTACTATGGGCTATGTAGAATGACAAAGGGCCCAATGTAAATGCTAAGATATTTCGAATGACACTAGAATGTTGCATCTACTATGTGTGGCAAGAAAGGAACCAAAGGATCTTCCAGAACTGTACAAGGACTACTGCTATGCTCACCAGAACTATTGTTCAGGAGGTACAAATCAGGGGAAGTCTTGAGGCCAAGTATGCATAAAAGATTAAGCTAGCGTTTGGCCATAGATTCCCAAATTTGTTTTGAAAATTCTGATTTGGGTGAAGTTTGATTTGAAGATGAAAATGTGTTTGGACATGATTTTTCAAAACATATTTCACTTTTTATTTGAAAAAACATGAAACATGACTTATACCCACAAGTTTCAAAAACTATCACAAATACCCAATAGTACCAAACAAACAAACTTGCTATCTTGTATATACATAACCTTCATTACTTAGATTACACATAGGAAGTCATTACTCATATTACACATAGGTAGTCATTACTCAGATTACAATCATGCCTACACCACAACGTACAACTAAAATAATTAGCATCAGCGTTTCATGCATTAGAGTACAACATAACAAAATGAAAATAATAGTTAGCTCAATTTTTCTTTAAGTCGTTAAACCATTCGACTTGATTTTTTTCGGTCATATGAACGAATATCTTGCGAAAGCTGGGGTTAAGCAAGAAAGGCACTGCTGGTGAAAATTTTTCGTCAGCTAAACCATGTTTTTGCAAGACAAATTGCAAGTGGGTAGTCACAACTTCCTCTGAGTAGATATCAATCTCAGTTTCTTTCGAGAGCAGATATAAAGAAAGAAGCAGGAACAAGAGCAGAAATTGAGGTGATTATTTAAATGTGGGCTCTTTTACAAACTATAAAAGTTTGGGGTAATATTTAAAAAAAATTAGAAATGTAATGGTTATGTTTTGGCCCAAAATCAGCAATTAAGGTGATTTGGGATTTAGGATTTGGGATCTTGCCAAAATATGGGCAAAATCTATGGCCAAACATGTGTTTGCCAAATAAATTCCAAATTTATTTTGGCAAAACTATGGCCAAACGGGTCCAAAGAGAGTTGGACTTCTATCCTATCTAAGGATAGGATTAGAAAACTAGTAGCATAGAAGCAGTAGTTGGTAGAGTACCCTAGTACTGGTGCTTAATGCCCAGCACTAATATTTAATTTTGCTTAGCTATACGTTGTACAATTTTTTTGAGGTGATAAATAAAATTTTACTTACAAAAAAAAAAGAGTACATTTTCAACTAATTACCCAACATAACAATACTTTTCAAAATATAGCAAATTAGAGAAATAAGGAATCCTTGATTTTAGGCTCATAGCTTTATCTCTAACTCTCTACCACCTTACCCTAATCTTTATCTCTCTCTCTACTACCTTCACTAACTCCGGTCATAGCCATCCTCTTCGCAAACAGCCAATGCCGGTAGTGGAGTTGCTTTCTCCTTTTTCTTCTCTTTTGATTCACTTGGCGACTATACATAATGGTTTCCTACATTACATATTACGAGTCACCTTCTTTTGTTATTCGAATTAAAAATAGATGTATGGTCTTTGAGTCCCTAAAGAACCTGGAGAACAGATCTGCTCAAATCGAGAATGCAATATTTCTTTCTTTTTTTTCTTTTTATGGAAGTTATTTTTTTGTTTTTTTGGTGGAGTAGGTGGTGGTTATGGTAATTTGTTGTGGTGGTGGTTATAGTGGTTCTGCGGTGGTGTTTTGAAGGTGGAAATGAATGTATGTATGGTGTATCTCACTGTATGTTTAATGTATGTGTGGTGTGTATTTGGTATATATCGGATGTATATATCACTGTACATACAAAGACATACCCACAAGGCCAAATATATAAACAACCCATGGCATCATTTTTTATTTTGACACTCTATCTCAACTTTGTTCCATTTTGGCCCTCCAACCCTATTTCTTATGTTTTATTTTAACACAAAAGTTGAAACCATTGCAAACAATATAGCGCGTGTGTATACATAAATTTGAGGTGTAATAAATATCCAATTAATGTTGCCACCTATTTTTTTCATCCATGTCAAACGGGTCAATACTAAAATACCGAACCCGATCATATTTGGATAAAATTAAGGCCGCTTCTTATTTTCTCTCTATCACAAATCTCTACCCGACTAATAGTACCCTAAGTTCCTTCCCAAATTCATAATCGCACATGATGAACCCATCGATTATCAGTGGTTTCTTCATCATTTGAAGGCGAGAATCACATTTCATCAACTATTTCTTCATATTCATCACATATTTCTTCATATTCATCAACATTCGAG